CGCGTGGGGGGGGGGGGGGGGGGGGGTTTTTTTTAAATGTACTTCTCTACGTAACACAGCTCATTTTTGGGTTTTAATAAAAGCCCAGTGGACATGATGCGAGATTAGTGGAAAATATGTGGTTCTGAGAGTTTACTCTCAGTCTCTGCCAATTGAGGGTTTCTGTTATTTTCTATTTAATTTTGCGATTTGTGGTTTCTCGCACTTGTTACCTTCCGAGTGTATGATAAATAAACATTGAATTGAAAATTTTGAGTGCTATCGTATAGTTTTGTATGGACTATGTTCATAAATTGCTGTTGGTCTTGATTTATTCTACCTTGTAGTTTCATTGCATGGTGCCTTCTACAGAGGAGCTTGTCTCAAAATCTAGTTGAAAGGCGTTTTTGCATTCAGAAAGTAAGAAAAAGGTTTACGTGACAAAATTTCCTTCAAAATGATGGTGTCTTGATTTTACCTTAAAACAAATATCAAATCGAAAATGTTTTAAGAAGGTGGGTAGCTATATCTCCCATAAATTATGCTATTTATCATTAGTCGTCAGACTCGTCACGTAAATTGTTCACGACGGCGACGGTGGTGATGGTGGGAAGACTGGGCATGTGGGAAAGAAAGGAATTTATTTTATTTTTTAATTATTTATTTAGGACTTGTTTGCACGTTTTTTTTTTTTTTTTCCGAAAAATTTGTGACTATAGTTGAAATAAGCACTTTATTTTTTTTATTATTTTTTGTTTGTTTTACATAGGAGGATATGTTTGTCATTTTACAAAGATTTATTGAGAAAACAAAAGGAGGGTATTCTTTAGAGTTGGCAAAGGTTCAATTCAAGGTTTGGTTGGCCAAAAATATCACCGAACCGTCAATTTTTTGACTATATCATAATTGCGCTATAACCACGTAAGTTGGTTCGGTTCAGTTCGGGCGGTTAATAACTACAAAAATAAATTATTTTTATATGTTTAGCTGTCAAATCGAAAAAAAAAATTATGAAAAAAAAAAGTCAATGATAATAAAAATGCAATACTGAGTCAATTTAGCAAACAATATCACAAATGAAAACGCAAACAATATCTCAATCTCAAATGCAAATTCCGAATTTAATAAATAATGTTATCAACATAACAATAATAAAAAGAAATCCGTGTCCCTTGATCCTTGTGCGTTGAACTTGATTCCTACTCAATAATTGAACAGCTCCAATTGTCCAATTAAATTTTTTTAACAGGGAATCGGTTCGGGTCGAACGGATGGTGTAAATACCATACTTGTCCCGTACCGAACCAGTGCATTAAAATCAAATATCATATCCACTTCATTGCACCATTAATTTGATATTTCGCCCTATTCAATTCGATTAATCGCGATATTCGGATCTAAAATTTTGAATTGTCATCCCTAGTATTTTGTACCTCAAAAGTCATATAGGAAGAGGTTTTGGGCAATTTGAAAAGGTAGAGAGGTATTTGGCAATAGATCCATATGTTGTATGGTCTCGCCCCGAACTGGTGCATTAAAACAAATACCATATCCACTTTATTGTACCATCGTTTCGATTTTTCGCGCTATTCGATTCAATTAATCGCAATTCTCGGTTCTGACAGTTCGAATTGTCATTCCTACTATTTTGTATCTCAAACGTCATATAGGAAGAGGTTTTGGGCAATTTGAAAAAGGTGGAGATGTATTTGGCAATAGATCCATATGTTGGGAGGTATTGTGCTAATAAGTCTTTCTTAAATTTGAAAGTAATTTGAAGCCATAAGAATTATGTGTTTCAATCATGTTGAGGTACCAAAATTATTTTGATACCCTAGTTGACCTACACTCACAATCGAGGTGAGTGGGGTGCCATTTTTTATATTTTTCGTTAACACGAGGCTGGCACGGGTCCCATGCCAATGTGAGGGTTGGCCACCTAGATATGCAAAATTCATCTGACACACTAACTTTATTCTGTATATTTCTCTTCTAAAAATGAAAAATGTTAATTGTAAAGGTTTTGTTTCACAGATTTTTTTATAGATGCTGGCAGCATTTGTGTGGTTCAATTTTTTTATTTTTACATTTTTTCTCTCCATCTTTCAAAAAGATTTTGTCAAGATGCTCATTTGTATGAATTATATGAACCAAGTAAGGTTTTCTCTAACAATTGTCCAAGTACAACCCAAAGTCGTGCTGGCACGTGCACGACCTTCACAGCCCTAATTGGGTCGTTATTGGAGCAAGAAATGTCTAAAATAATGTTGATGATTGTACCTAACTTGTTGCATTGTTGTGTGCGTAAGTCGACGTTTGGTTCAACTAGAAAAATAGATTAAAATTTAAGTTAAAATTAATCATTAATTTTAATCACATATTTGATAGGATCACAATTTTTCAATCATTCATTAATTTTTATCAAAATTTACTAAAAATTTAATTTTTCTTTAAATCAAACAGGCGTTAAATATGTTAAATACTACTTTAGAATCTAGAAATATGGATGAATAGTGTGTGATTTGAGAATACCGACCTATTTTCCACTTAAACCATTTTGAAAATAGTTTTGGTCTTCATTTAAAACAAATTCTTTTAATTTTCAAACTCATTTTGTCACATTTATATAATAAAATATTTTGTTCGTAAATCTATTTTTTTTTTCTACTTTTCATCACATATTCTCCAAAAAATTATTATTCAAAACATCATTTTTTTTTTTTATAAATAATGGCCATCAAACGGGGATTGAATATTATTAAGGGCGTGTTTGGCGTGGATTTTTTTGAAAATGAATTTTGAGAACGAATGAATTTTTTTAAAGTAATATGTGACTAAAAAAAAAATTATAGATTTTATTAATTGGAGAATCTCTAGAAATATGTCCTAAATTAAAAAGTCATCCCCCGACCTTGTCCTTAGTCATCTTTAATTGAAGCCCAATCTTATCCCCGTCGATTCTCGACCTTTTTCTCGCCAGTGTAGGCACTGGTGGATTACACGTAAGGATGCAAACACAGGATAGCCAGAGGAAATTGCAAATAGTATTAGTAGAAGTCGATCTACAACCTTTAGAGGAGTATGTTGGCCAGAACTTTCATTTTTGTCACTCTGTTTGAGTTCCGTTTTCTCCAAAACTCATTTTCAATCCCACTTTCTTTCATAAAATAATTTTACACATAAATTTAAATTTTTTCCTTTCATTTTTTTAACTATACATTCTCTAAAAAATCACTACTGCAAAACATATTTCCCTGAAAGATGGACTCAAATAAAGGCTTAATTATATAATCAATTTTCAATGGCATAAAACATTCAAATTGACCATTTTTCATGAAACATACTCCACCTTAGGCAACCATCCAAGTTGTGTAGATTCGTAAAACTAGATGTGTAAAGACTGTTAGACTCAACAATTTATGAAACAAATCACTCAATATATGAAATTATAACAATAAATTAAAAATTGGTGTTCGATTTTCTGCAAATAAATCAATATTTCTCATCATATTCAATATTAATGGGCTATTTGGTGTAAAAAATTGGAAATACGACATAATTCAAATTTCGAAGCAATTCATTTTACACAGTCCTATATGATTCACACACGATAGAAAAAGAATTTGGCTAACGAACAGTTGGAATTGCTTTTTTTGGTCCATCCCAATTTGAAATTTTAGCCAATTCAAACTTCATTGTCCACACCATTAATACTTACAATTCTGCTATGTGTACATCTGGATTGACATATTGGATGACACTCTACACACGAGTGTGGGGCCGCGATTATTTTACTAGGCTTGGATGTATGCGCAGTGACATTCGAGGACCGGGTGTCAGCCCATCATGGAGGAGATTTACTATAGGTGTTTACCCGTCCCTGCACGATAAAATATCGAGAATTTGCCAATTTTGGAGAGTAGGGAAAAGATATTGTAATATACAATAACCCATGCTATTTTTCTGTAACAAAATTCAAATTGATGGGGCTACTTTACAATTTACATTGAAAAATGGACTCAGGTCCCCTAGCCTTAGCCACAAAACCAGGGTACACTCTTGGTGGGAAAGCTTTTAAGATATTTCCTCAAAAAGTCAGAAAACAATTTCATTATCAGTCCCCAATCCATATTTCCAATAACAAATCTGTTCCAAACCTTTAAAAAATGCAAATTACTTTTCATTATAGTTGCAAAATTAGTTCAAATGACGAAGAATATCCAAATCTCTATTAAATTATCATATATATATATATATATATATATATCCCCTTTACCTTAAAAGAGAGGATGCCAATATTGCTATTCATCTTGAGGCAGAGCTTTCACACTTAACTGGTTTCCTACTATAGTTAAACTCGTTTAGCATTTTTCCACTGAAAAAATGCTTTAATTATTTCTACTGTTCATCCACAGAAATGAAATTAATGCG